ACCAATAGTGGAATCACGGTATCCCGCATTGTGTGAGGGCGTGAGGAGAATACAGTTGCCCTAGTGGCTTCTTGGGGAGCATTGTGCCTCCATACCGCTCCAACGGAGACGTACTTTCCCTCAAAAGGAAGGAACTTCGGTAACACATCCTCGTCTCCATCGGTTCCACTCTTGGTTATCTCGTACCTTTCCTTGTGCAAGCTCATTTGTGTTATTTCCCTTGCTTGCTTGTGTGCATGTTGGTATTGCATCATATAGGTTGCTCACATAGTTGCATGTCTAGACAATCTACTTTGATGCACAGTTTAATTTGGTAAAGAAAAGTTAAAAATTGTTAGTTGCCTATTCACCCCCCTCTAGTCAACTATATCGATCCTTTCACCTAGCCACTGAACTGCTGACGCATGGTAGCATGTTGGTCCCGGTTGGTGCTACCAACCGGGACAAAAGGCCCCTGCCAGGGCAAGCCCCAGTGGCCACGTGAAGCCCCATCTGTCCCGGTTGGTGTAAGAACCGGGACTAAAGGTGTAGGATTTTAGTACCGACCCTTTAGTCCCGGTTACCCAACCGGGACAAATGGGCCTTACGAACCGGGACAAATGGCTCTTTTTCTACTAATGTACTGACATCAAGTGTAAGGAAGGACATGAAGTACACGATGCCCCATGACCAATCTGCCAGCTAAATCTGATGCACCTAAAATGAGATTGTTCATCAGTTTAGTTCAGAGTTATCTTGGATGACTTGGTGTCAAAGCTGAAGTTAACAAGGAGGGAGAATGCTCAAATTGAACCTGGATTAAAATGCTTCTTTGTAACTGTCACGATTCTTGGTGGAATGAAACATATTATTGGCCATAAATTTGGTTAGTTGTGCACAGCAAATGAGATTGCTGATTTGATGGTATTATTATTAGTACACTGCACACCCATGTGCTGCACACGGATGTGGAAACTGAAATCCGAATCAAAATTGACCATATAATCTCGAACCACCTAACTACCATGTGATCATCTATATTCATTACACAAAAATTCTGCATAGACCTTGAATATGAAACTTTACATATAATCTTAGAACTACTCGTGTAAATTTGCGGGATATGATCGAAGAGACTAGCAGATTGTTCAATATCGCAGTAACTTGACCTGTTTAGGTGCAACCATTCTAAAAGAAAAAAGTTAAGCACACAAAGCTCCATTTTTTCACCATAAAAATGAAAATGTGATATTTCACTGAACTAAACTTGCACTTTTTAGACATAGACTTGGACATACAAAAATATCAAGACTTAAACACGATGGCTTTCCTCCTACCGTACTACTGGACATATCCGCCACACAATGCAGAAAAAGAAATTCACAAATCTTTAGGTAAACTAACTAACTAAAAAGAGATGAATGATGTCAAATCCAAAAGGTGGGAAAGCGACGACACTGACGATTGCAACCTTTAAACAAACAGAACACAATTTGATGCTGATCGAATCAAGACGCTCCTCCGAGCTATAGCCACTTAATTACTTGGCAGCGGCGGCAGCGGCAGCCCACATACTCCGCAGCTTCCCGGCGTAGTCCACCATGCTCTTCATGGGCGGGGCAGCCTTCTTGGCCGCATCCGTCTCCACGAACCTCTCAGCCCAGGCGGCCAAGCGCGGAGTCCTGCCTGCGTCGATGACCGTCACGCCGAACATCTCATGGAGCGCCTCGAACCAGAAGAGGTTGCACCCGAGCGCGATGTCAAGGTACCCGACGGAGTCGCCGGCGAAGTAGTCTTTCCCACCAGAGCACTGCACGAGGGCGTCCTCCATGGGCCCGACCACCGCGAGCGCGGCGTGGAGCTTCTCGGCTCTGTCCTCCTCCGTGACGGCGCGTAGGATGCCTATCCACGCGGGGAACAGCTTATCGTCGAGGTAGGCGGCCCAGAAGCGGGCGACGGCACGGCCATAGGGGTCCGCGGGGAGGAGCGAGGCTGCGCCGGCCCAGACCTCGTCGACGTACTCGACGATGGCGAGCGATTCGCAGACGGGCCTGCCGGCGTGGATGAGCACGGGGACCTTCTTGTGCACCGGGTTGGAGGCGAGGAGGAGCTCGCCCTTGTTGAAGAGGTCCTGCTCCAGGTACTCGTAGCTCACGCCCTTGAGGTGCAGGGCCATGCACACGCGGACCGCGAACGGGCTCACCACCGTGCCCAGCAGCTTCACATCTCCTTCACCGGCCATCGTCTTGGATCGATCTCTTCCTTGCTACTATTTGCTACTTGGTGCTCGACCGTAAACAGTTTGCTCTGCTGTGTATGTATGTGCTCTTAACTCAGTTTGAAAGTGTACGTATATAGCTTTGCTCTGGTTGTTTATATAGCGCAAATCAAGCTGAACAGCTGCTGGAAGAGTAGCTGCGTCACCGTTGACGTATTCATTTCATGGTAGGTGCAGGTACGCGAGCATCCTAGGATTTCTTAATCACCGAAAGCCGGAAGGTTGACTGGTATAGCTCGGCGTCACATGTGACGCTTCAAAGTTAGAGACGATCTTTGTGCCGCATATGCCCTGCGAGTCATTCTTCTGTTGCTACGTCCACTGACCCGGTCAGCGGGAGCCCGGAGCAAGCACAACATCGCTGCGCTGAAATGCTTGGATGTTTAGGAGTACAGTGGTATTCTTATTTCATCAGAGTTTAAATCCTGATGTTTGCATTTATTTTGGATTTATTTAAGGATTTGCGGTGAAGCGCGTTTAATAGGAGGAGACGCTTTCGTCAACTTCGAAACGCCTACGATAACTTCATAAAATCTTAAGATGATATGCCAGCTTAGTTTCTCGAAGGTGCTCATAAAGGTAGGATGTGCATGTATACGGTTATAGGGGTGAGTGTATACGTGTATATATGAGCGTTTGTGTTTGTACTGCCTCGAAGAAAGAGAAAGAAAACTAACATGTAGAAAGCGAAACCTCTTTTTGGCGAAAAATAGAAAGTGAAACCTTTTTTTGGCGAAAAATAGAAGATAGGACCCATAAGCGCATGGATGTACGTCTCAAACTTGAGAGAAAAAGGGCTTCCAGTTCCAACTTTTTTTTTGCATCAGGGACAATCCATGGCTACACTGCTACACTCTAAGAAACTCTAGTTGAAGGTGATAGTGTTGGGATAAAAGTAAATAATGATGTTGGTCACTATTTGCAAACTCATAAAAGTTTGGTGTCGGAGGATTGTTTGTCTCCAACAATTTCAAACATATTAGTTGCAAATATATTGGCAGTCCTCATTGCAAGGGCAAATAATATGGCCAGGTAGGAGACTAGCGAGAATATTATTACTACATACAATTCCCTAAAAAAACTCTTTGTACCTTACGTCAAAAAAAACTCTTCGTACCAAGTCATTTGGATCATCGTACTTTCATGATTTTTGCTAACCGTTTTCAGATCGAATTAGTACGCAAACTTTTGTCAAACACGTACGTATGAATAGCATTGTGTGTGGTTTAATCCTCATCTAGTGGATGGAGAAGCTTCTATTCTACAATATGTTGATAACACTATCATTTCCATGGAACACGATATGGACATGGCAGTCAATATGAAATTGAGTCTTTGACTTTTCGAATAACTCTCTAGTCCTAAGATAATTTTTTACAAGAATGAATTATCCGGCTTTGGACGTGCCAAAGTGGAATAAAATTATTTATAACAAATTATATTGATGTGAGGTTGGTAAACCCCCTTTTAGATATCTTGGGGTACCAATAGACCATTGAAAGCTCACCAGCAAAGAGTGGAAATGTATCCAGGAAATGTTTGGAAACAAACTTAGTTGTTGAAAATGTAAGCTGATGTCTAATGGCAGTCGACTGATCCTAGTAAGAGCCTGTTCTTTTGTTGACTTCTAGAATAAGTTGGGTAATTCATCTTGTTCTAGAAGCCCAACAATATTTATAGCATTATTAGTACACTGAACTATCGTGTGCCGCACATAGATGTGGAAACTAAATTCCGAATCTGAATTGACGATACAGTCTTGAACCACCCAAACTAGCATGCGGTCATTTATTCATTTCTAGATACACCTCGAAGATGAAACTTATCATCTAAACTTGAAACTACCGATGTTGTTTGTTCAATAATCAATGTTGTAGTAATTTGACATGTTTGGGTGCAAGCAGTCTAAAAGACAGAAAAAATAAGCATATATGGCTCCATGGATCGTTCACCGAAGCCAAGTTCCATTTTCCCCATTAAAATGCAAATGTGATATTTACTGTACTGAATTTGCACTTTCTGGACATGGACATTTTTTGCTGAAAAAGTCAAAAGAGATATATTAAGGAGCGCAAACTCTTATAAAGCACTTTTACAGTAATTGAAAACTACATCCAAATATTTAGGGTACTGAAGTCTTCTTCCTCCTGCACTCATCAACAATGCATAGTGAACAAAGCATGTTTTTGCCTTTGGGCTTCCATCCTACAGAGCAAACTTGTGGAGATCCAATAATAATCTCAAAAGACTTCAAAACGGTGGTTTTCCTTGTATGTTGCGTCACACTCACACTTAGGAAGTCAGTGGATTGATCAACCACAACCTTATCAAAATAAATGATCATTTTATTGCATACTCTTAATTAGGAGACCGGAGACTGGAGGAGGGGACGACATGAGGACCGTCGGCCACGAGGAACATACAAAAAGAACATACAAAAATTCTCAAAAGACATGAACATGATGTATTTTCTCCGATTGTTCTATTGTAACATTTTATAATGCTGTACTATACTCCTGAACAAGTTAGTGGGTTGCTCAGCCACAACTTTATGAATATAAATGGTCATTTTATTGCATACTGGACAGATCACAATGCAGAAAAATGAAATTTACAAATCTTAAATAATAAGTAAATAAATTAAAAGAAATGATTGACGATGACCACCTTTATGATGAACAAACAAAACACAACTCGAGGCCAATCGAATCAAAGAAATTCCTCCGAGCTTGCCACTTAATTATTACTTGGCAGCTGCAGCAGCAGCAGCCCACATAGCCCGCAGCTTCCCGGCGTGCTCAACCATACTCTTCATGGGCGTGGCCGCCTCCTTCCCTGCCTCCGTCTGCTCGAACCTCTCAGCCCAGGCGGCCAAGCGCGGAGTCTTGTTGGCGTCGATGACCGTCACGCCGTACATCTCCCGCAACGCCTTGAACCAGAAGAGGTTGCACCTGAGCGCAAGGTCGAGGTACCCGACGGAGTCGCCGGCGAAGAAGTCCTTCCCACCAGAGCATTGGGCGCAGTGGCGGAGGTAGAGGGTGGACAGGGTGGGCCACGGCCCACCCTGGGATTTCTGGAATAGCTTTATAGCATAGGAAAAAAGGTAAAAAATATTAAGAAAACATATTTTTTTTATGAACAGTTCTATTGTTGGCCCACCCTGGCCCATTGGGCTAGATCCGCTACCGATTGGGCGAGGGCGTCCTCCATGGGCCGGACCACCGCGAGCGCGGCCTCAAGCTTCTCGGCTCTGTCCTCCTCCGTGGCGGCGCGTAGGATGCCTATCCACGCGGGGAACAGCTTGTCATCAATGTAGGCGGCCCAGAAGCGGGCGACGGCGCGGCCGTAATGGTCGGCAGGGAGGAGCGAGGCGCCGTCAGCCCAGACCTCGTCAACGTACTTGACGATGGCGAGCGACTCGCAGACGGGCCTGCCTGCGTGGATGAGCACGGGGACCTTCTTGAGCACCGGGTTGGTGGCGAGGAGGAGCTCACCCTTGTCGAACAGGTCCTGCTCCAGGTACTCGTAGCTCACGCCCTTGAGGTGCAGCGCCATTCGCACGCGGACCGCGAACGGGCTCACCGCCGCGCCCAGCAGCTTGACGTCGTCTCCTTCGCCGGCCATCGTCTTGGATCGATCTCTTCCTATTTGCCGCTTGTAAACTACTCCTATTTCCTCCGATGTGTACGTGTGTGCTCTCTTAAGCCTCAAGCCCTTGATACTCAATTTGCAAGGCTTCGTTCTCGTTGTTTATATAGCGCAGATCAAGCCGAGCAGTTGTTGGACGAGAAGCTACTAGAGCCATTGTGTTGGGTGGGTGGGTGCACGGCTATGCGCATCACCCTTGACGTACGCAGCATGCACTGAAGAGTCAACTCAGAGTATCTCAGGATTTCTCAGCAACCCCTAAAGTAAGGTTAACTAGCTTGGCGTCACATGTGACGCTTCAGTGCTGGGTGATCTTTGTGTGGCACTCTTGCAGTGTCGGCCTTCTGTATCGACGAGACTCAATTCACCCGGAGACTCTGTCACCGAGAGAAGACCACGACGACATCTTCTAGAAAATAAAGGCAACCGCAAATGTCGTCGCCATGGGCGCCAAAGTGCAAAGGTTTTGCTCGGCAGCTCACCATGACACCATGAGATACCCAGACCAGTCTCAGCGAGAACCGCCCTACATTTCAGGATCAAGATCTGGGCAACGCCACTTCAAGGACAAAAAATGTGCCCGAACCATCCATCTCTACGCCCCTCGCCATCCAGACAACAAAGTAGCTTGGCCATCATTATCGTCATGGGGCCTGCCAGAAAGCCACCA